GCTGTACTCGAGTGGGTGCACTGGCATATGGTTTATCTGCAAGAACAGGCATTGGCTGTGGTTCCCACAGGCCACCTGCTAAGCCACCCCATAGAGACACAGAGCTGGGGCAGGGAGGGACAAACTCCACTGCTGGAGAGACACCCCTCCCAACAACCCAAACAGACCAAGACAAATCCAATGCCGCAGCGTTTCCCAGGCTACAGGGAAGGGAGAAAACGACAATTGCTTAATAGAAATCTCCGAGAAGCCTGCCAACACCATCACAAAGATGTTGTTTAAGTCTCCTCCCCAGGCTCCCAGTGCTTTAATTGCAGACCACTGGAGATCACACTTTGTGGGGCTAGGTCCTTGTACACAGCAGCTCCTGAAAACCAGGATGGTATCACCCTCCCCAGGATAAGATCTGACCTTCCCCTGGCTGCAGGCATAATGGGCAAAAGCTGCTGTGAGGCAGACCCTGCTCCCCAGCCTGACCATCCACACAGGCAACCATCCTGCAGCACCACCACAGCACAGCCCAGATGTGACCAGAGCTGTTGTGCCGGGGAGCAGAGCATTGCGAGCAGACAGGCTGCCAGTGCCCCAGAAGCACAGTCTTCACATCCTGGTGCAGGGAGGCATGGCCACACTACCCTCCTGGGGCTTCAGCCATTAAAACAGTCCTGAGGACACCCAGAAAGTTTGTGCTTAATGACATCTGCACTGGCATCCCAGGAGAAGTCCCACCTAGAAACTGTACCAGCTAGGCACAAGGGCTATCGCTCTGGAGAGCTTATAAGCAGAACAAGCCCCAGTAAATGCAGCATGTGTATATGTAAATATACATATATTGAGAACCCTCCACCAAGTCCCTGCTCTAGCACACTGTCTTTCAGTGACGGCTCAAAAGGCACTAAGCCTGAGCAGTGACAAGAATTGCTTTGGACATGGCTGAAGTACTGCCACCCACATACTGCAGGAGCACAGGAAGCGATGGCAATATATCTGACAGGGATGGGTTGAAAACACTACCCAGGAAGAATGCAATTACCCCAAATGGACTGAGGCCAGGAGATCTGGATTACCACCTCAGCTCTTGCATAAAGAGCTTTGCATCTTTGTTCACTTCCAACAAGAATCTCAGGGTTGACATCAGCCCTGGCCCAGGACATGGATTTGTTACTAAAAAGTACTTCCAGCTGAATCACTAACTTCCCATTTTGCAGCACACAGGACTCCTTTGAAGGTTTCCCATCCAAGTACTGCTCTACCATCATGCTGCTTAGCTGGGGGCTAGTCCAGGCCATGGGCAAATATGACTGCAAACCACTGGCCAGTCCTGAAGAAGCTCTCTGAAATGCAGAGCATGTGATCCCAGCTGCTCTTCACTCAGGATTCACAACCAGCTGAAGATGCAGATGGAAACAGGGAAAAACATGTTAATTGGCAGCTGGGCATTCACAGGCCAAGCAAGGGAGACTGTGAAAGAGAGGGGCAAAGCCAAAGGGATGATGAACAGAGACAATTCCCTGTCAAAGAAAAAAAATTTTAAAGCAGACCTCAAACTTTGTGAGACCAAGCTCTCTGGATGTTATATTCACCTGGCTCGTTTGCTCATGAATAAAAGCAAAATGGAGGAACAAAGGAACCGAGCTGGTCAGAAAATAGGCTCCAGAAAGCAGAGGTGCCAGGTGCTGCAGACAGAAGGAAGGATCAGAAACACAGTGCCCAGGACACAGAGACTCACACAGCTCCCTGGAGGAAGGGGGTCCCTGGGAATTACGCAACGTGGAGAGACATCAGGCAAAAGCCTCTCACAGAAGACTTTCACAAAGTAACCTGCAACAATCTCACTAAGTAACCTGCAACAAACCATCTGCTAGAATACAAATATCTCCTTTCAGGATTTCTCCCATGCTGCCCTTCACACCTGTCCTGTTTCAAACCCGACTCATTAATTCCTCCAGCTACCAAAGCCTCTGATAATTTGATTAGAGCTCCATTGACAGCATGCTGAGGACACCACTTTTCTAACCATATGGCTTCACTTTCTCCTTTTACGTCTGTGGTCACATACCTCCCAACAACAGGTTTTCTCGTTCTGCATCAGGAAGTGTCCTGGCCCCCAGGCATGGTGCATTTCCACACAACACACGATGGTGCCAACCAGATCTATCAGAGGACAAACACAGGCAGGCCCAGAGCAGTAAGAACATGTAAAGGACTTGGAAAGAGCCAAGAGGCTTTGACTTTGAAGACTCAGATCAATAAACATCCTCTTCAATCACCCTCAGACTCAGAGAGCAAAGTTTGGGTATCTCTGGCCTCTGGTACTTACTCAGCACAGTCATGCAGAAACGTGCTTGGGAAAGCAGCCTGTAGCAGACAGCAAGGAGGAAGACCAGGGGCAAAGATGTGCTTCTCTGCCCTCAGAGGTCCCTTGAACATAGGGAGGGAACTTCCTCCTCCTGCTCTGCAGGCTCAGAGAGAGAAGAGAGCCAAGGGCAGAGGGGTTGAGAAAGCTCAGCACCAGCTGAGGGAGGGTGTAGGGGCTGCGGCCTTCATCCAATTTGGAGTAAGACAACAGGAGTGAAAGAGCAGCCCCACCAGTAAAATTTAAATTATCTACAATTCCCTAAAGGCCACTTCTGGAGAGGGCAGACATGAAAAATAGAGCATAGAGAGCTGCTCTGCACAGCTTTGCTGGAAAAGCAGGGAAGCAAGAGAGGTCCTCAGCTGTGCCTCTGAATAGCAGAGTTCCCACAGCGCAGTGACCCCACCAGCTACCCTTCTTTCAGTGGTAAGAAACCTCTCACATGAGGAAGAGAAACAAGACGAGTGAGTAGCACAGCTGGAACAGCCCCAGCACTGCTCCAAGTATGGCTGGACCTCAGTCCACAAGCCCAGCTCACCAAGGGCCGCAGCTGTACATCTGCAGTGACAGCAGGGCTCTCCTGTCCAGGGCTCCTCCAGGGCTGTCCTGACCACCCCAAGCTCCATGGGAAGGCCCCACCAAAGTCAGCAGGAACCCAGTGTTACAGTTAGATGTTATGGGAGCAGGGGCTGGAGGTCAGGCCAGGGCAAGTGTTGACTCCCAGGCAACAAACACTGTGGCAGCAGCGTCCCTCTGAACCAACCGTGTCCAAACCCCTCAGCCCTGCCAACTCCCACCAATGCCCTGCCCTAGTGCAGGGACTGCATGCTGGGACCTGCAGAGTCCCCATCAGGGCCCCGCCACTCACTTACTCACGAAGAGACCCGCACTATGGGAACTGCTGCTGTGAAACAAGGCGGTGACGAGGCTTTACAGGATGACTTCATTCTCCTTGTCCTCAACCTAAAGCCCAGCCCTGCCAAAAGTAACTCTAACACTATCACATTGGGAGTTTTCTTCTGTGTAACCTGCCGGACCTTGTTCACCTCCTCGTGTTACCAAGCTTGCCAAGACACTGCTTCGTGTCAGGGTTCAAGCCTGCTACACTCTCCACAATTTCCCAACTCCCCCTCTTTGCTGATGCCAATGAACACGATTCAGGGAGAGGGCAAGTCTGTAAGCAGACCTCTGCTTGTCTGATGTTTTTAAAAAGGCAATGAGTGGAAATTACTTTTAAAATTTAAATTTAGAGCACAACATTCCTCTACCATACACTTTCCACAGCAGCTGCAAATTCCACACGCCTTCCTTCAAAGAAAAATAATAAAGGGAGTGTGGAAACCCCCGAGGAAAGTGTCTGCCCCTCGTACTGATGGATCACGTTCACGGGTGGGCTGTGAGCAAGCCCACCTCCCCAGCACCCACCACGCAGCCATTCTCTCTTCCTTACCTAACAGGCCACCTTTCCAAACATGACACCCGAGCTGCCAACAGCACACTGCCTGCGTGATTTCTGTATAAAACCCGCAAACCGCTTGAAAACCTTGCTAGGTCGGCAGCTGCTGGTTTCGGGTGGGTGACTGTCCCCGACGGGCCCTTCCGCCCGCGGCTGGCTGTCACCAGAGGGCGGCGGATGCCGGGGTTCACATCCGCCCCGGCGCCCACCCCGCACCCCCACGCCGGGGCCTGGGGAGGGACCCCCGGGGCAGGTGCCGCCCGAGCCGCGTCTCCCGCGCCCCCGGGGGGACCCGGCCCCACCGCCGCCGGCCATCCCGGGGGACAACCCACCACGTCCCAGCTGGGTGGGAGCTGATGCCCGCGGGAGGAAGAAGAGGAGGAGGAGGAGGAGGAGGAGGAGGAGGAGGAGGGGA